CCCACCTCTACCCCGCCTGATGCCTCCACGGCTGCTGCTAAGCCGTGAGCCCCCACCCCGCCCCGCCCCCGCTCCTGTCTCCCACAACATCAACACTCACTACTCACTCCTCCTTTCGCCTCGTGCCCTGGACCGATACTGTTTCTGATTCGACAGGGCCTTGTTTTGGTACTCGTGTCTGTGTGCAGAAACGATATGAATGTGGCCGATTCAACATCGGTGCCATAGCGTAGGCCACGCACTGTTGTGAGAATCAGCTCGCACGATCTTCCTTGTGCGGCACATCACAACATTAGACACGGTTAAGACTTCAAATGCCAAAACTGTCCATATTCGTCGGAAGAACATGTTTGTTTTACTGCCGGATCGCCTGATTCCGTTGCATGCAGTGCTTGGGTAAAAATGCACTGTAATAAACAAAGTAAAATGTTTTCAATATAAGTGCTTCCTTTTCAAGGTGTTCTTTTATGTCGACAAAAAACAGTGTGATTTGACAGTTGCGATTTCCATGACATTTTCGCGTGATGATTTTATCACCAGGAAAAATATGTGATTTAATTATTGGCAGAAAATTAATGCAAATAACGTCATGCGTCAGCCGGCGCCATAGGCTTAGTGATGTGTTCGCATGTTTGTGTGCTCGTGCTCAAATTGGCATGAGTTGGGATTTTACCGTCAATTGGAGTGGAATTGAAGTGGAGGCGGATACAAGGTGTGTGTGTGTGTGGGAAAGGGGCAGTGGTGGAATAGGGAGACAAAGCAACCTGGAATTTACATCTTGCCTTAATTTACGATCGGCGTTCCTTAAAGTGCAGTTTCTGCTTACTTCCATGACCTCATGGCCCACTTGGCTTGGCGTGGGGTCGCGCACCGTGCCCTTCCCTAAACACTCCAGCCAGCCAGGCCGCGCTCCGCGTGTTGTCGTGGAACTGCCTTTGGCTTTGCGTCGCGCGCCCCTCTCTGATAGTAACGGCCAAAGTTTGCCATTCGTAAAAGTACAATTCTAAACATTTAAAAACAAAGAAAAAGCTGGAGAACACGCGCGGGGGCGTGTCTAGCCTGGCGTGGCGTGGCGGCGCGTGGTGCGGGCTGGGGCTGCTGATGGCGCCCAACCCACTGCACTTATTGTTCCGGCCGTGGGACAGCGAGTCAGAGGAGGGGGATGGGAGGAGCGAAACAAGCAGGAAAGAGACAGTGGGATAAGAAAATAAATATATATAAAAAAGAGCTGCTGAAAAAATGAAGAAGAGAATAGAAACAAAGGAATTAAACAGCAAGGAGAGCGCGGTGAGAGGATGAGGGCTGGCAAAGATGAAAACAAAGCCAAACACAGGAAATTATTCGATGCGAAAGTCGGCGAGAGCACGCAGCTAGCCGTCCGTTTTATTCGTCCTGGCTTCTTCTCTTCACCTCTACTTCTACGGTTTTATTCTACGTCCCCCACCTCGCAGATCTCTTATTAATAAACAATAAATGTGGCATAAACACGAGGCTGGTTTTGCGATAAATTTCGCACAAAACTAGGCGCGATAACAGTTTTACGATACCAATGGGGTTTTTGCGTGTAGATCTTTCCCTCACAAAATAGATTGTGTGACACCACCGTATAAGTAATACGTGGTATGCGACGACGTTGTATAGCACACTTGCGTTGATTTTTTCCAACTTTCACCACATTGTTTTGCGACAAAATTATGATTAAATGTGAACAAATTGTCATCGCGGCTAAGGTGTTCGTTCGCGCCAATGAGAAAAACTTGTCTGTAATGTAAACAAAGGATTTTAAACCACTGCATTTCTGATTTTTTGACCAACTAACTCGGTAAAAACAATGTCCCACATTTTGAGGATAAAGGGAAAACTTTGAGGGACTCCCATGTTTGAGTAAGAGTCCTCCGAAACTCAGATTTTGAGGAGTCTTCTCCAAGAAAACGAAGACAAATCAGTCATTTTTTGACTAGACTTCCTCGAAATCTGGGGAGTTTTCGCCAAACCAGGGCAGTTCCTCAAAGTTTTCGCCTTCGCCCTTTTCCCTCGAAGAATGAGGCATTGTTTTTACCGTGAAGAGGAAAACGCAATACAGATCTGCTCGTTTGCAGGGTGCTGAGGAGAGTTTATCGTCCATGGAATGGGTCGGTTGTAATGCAGTGTTAAGATCGTGGATGAAAGGGACACGGGGATCTCTACAGGAAATGACCAGGTAGATACAGGAGGGAAGAGCAGGTGTATTCCAGGCAAGAGGCAGCACAGGAACACAGGCGTGAGGCCTTAGTCAAGGGCGCGTCACAACAATAGCGTAGGCAGGGAAGCGCGACAGTAGGGACGGCATCTGACCACCATACATCATTCCTCTACACCAGAAACGATTATGTAGGGGCGAGGAAAGAAGGAAAAGTTGGGACTCGGCCACCCGCCAGAAGGGAGCGCCTGGAGGTTAGGCTACCGTCTCACACGGCCGTCGCGCTGGCCTGGCCGTTGCCTACGTCTCACGGCGGTAGGAGCACTACCAGGGGGGGGGGGGGGAGGGGCTGTGGAGCGCGCTGCGGAGCGCTTCGTAGCCTGGCGGGCACGGCTATCGATTTGTTTGCAATGAAGTGCTAAGGGCAGTGGACTCTGGGAACGCCAGCGCTGCTGCCACCGGTCAAGGCGCGCGGAGAGAGGGGGTTAGAGGCAGCGGGGTAGAGGGGCTGGATAGGAGGGGGTGGGG